TAATCCCACGGTTTAAGGGAATACAAAGAGTTTATACATCTAAGCTATTGTGATTGATTCTGAGCCATTTCATACAGAGTCTCCAATGATTGGTTGCAACAGCCATACGAATCCCATTCATTAGTCTGCATCTACCAACATGGCTCAGACCAGAAGTTAGTGACTTCAAGCACTGATGCAACGTTTTGGTTTGGCCGCCCCTGACTCTCTTCTAACCATCCCCAACATTAGTCAGCATTTCGCGTCGTGGTAATCGGTGATCAGGCATACGCAACACGTGGCCCAACCATCTCAGTCGGTGAAGATTCACAACTTCATCAACTGATTTACCATCCTTCCCTAATACCCTACGTCTAACCTCACTATTACTTACTCGGTCGTCCCAGCAGATGCGAGCATTATTTCTAAGGCATCTGTGATCAAATACTAGTAGCTTACGAATATTTTATACTCTTAGTGACTACGATTCGCAATCGTAAGTTAAAACAGGACGGACTGCCGCGCAGTATACTCGTCCTTTAATTGATAGACGGATATCTCACCTTCGCCATAGGTGACGTATGTTGGCGAAAGTCAAACGAGATTTTTGAATCTGTGCAGAGGTTTCGCCAGCCACTAACCCATTATGGCTGATCAAACTTCCGAGATAAGTGAAGTTGTCGATGCGTTCGACCTAGTTCAGGTGTTGACGAAGGCTACAAAAAGGTCATGTGTGACGGGCCCTAATCAGTTGTCCTTTGGGCACCACAGTCACGTTCTCGGGTCACTAAGATCAACTCTAACCCAGTCTCACTTTCGGATACTATTAGAAGAATCCTTCCACGGCGTGGGCAACCGGAAAATGAAAACCGCCTTCACACCTCCGACAGCACTCAATACCACTGTATTCATAATCGATTTCCTTCTTCCATTCCCATTATTCCTCCTTCCCCGACTAACAACACCACACTTCCTCCGATGTATAAATGTGCCTGGTCCTATGTTGTAGCTGACTGACTGATAGCCGGTTATTGAAGATCACAGAACTCTCAAACCATTTTTCTTCATGGCTCATTTGATTTCGAATTTAACTGCTGAACATCTTTCTGAGAGAATAAAAGTGGAGACAAACGTTGGCAGTCAGTCAGCTACAACGTAAGACCAGGCACATATTTGCATCGGTCCAAGCTGCCATACCTTATTAGCACAACAAGATGAACACCAAATTCATAAGAGTAGTTAAGTCAATGGTGATAATATATAAAAGAAAGATTGTATATAAGGGCATAGTACAGGTAGAAAGAATCAGTTCGTAGAAAGAAATATATGAAGCGATTTTAATCTCATAGTTTAAAGGAAGACAAAGAGTGTATACGCATAGGCCATTGTGAACGATTCTGAGCCATGTCACCAAGAGTCTCCAACCATGGGTTACAATAGTCACGCGGACCCCAACCAAGTAGTCTGCATCTACCAACATGGCTCAGACCAGAAGTTAGTGACTTCAGGGACTGATGTCGCGTTTTGGTTTGGCCGTCCCTAACTTTCTTCCAACCATCCCCAACACTAGTCAGCATTGCACGTCGTGGTAATCGGTCTTCACGCATACGTAACATGTGTGCCAACCATCACAGTCGATGAAGATTCACAACTTCATCAACTGATTTACCATCCTTCCCTAATACCCTACGTCTAACCTCACTATTACTTACTCGGTCGTCCCAGCAGATGCGAGCATTATTTTTAAGGCATCTGTGATCAAATACTAGTAGCTTACGAATATTTTATACTCTTAGTGACTACGATTCGCAATCGTAAGTTAAAACAGGACGGACTGCCGCGCAGTATACTCGTCCTTTAATTGATAGACGGATATCTCACCTTCGCCATAGGTGACGTATGTTGGCGAAAGTCAAACGAGATTTTTGAATCTGTGCAGAGGTTTCGCCAGCCACTAACCCATTATGGCTGATCAAACTTCCGAGATAAGTGAAGTTGTCGATGCGTTCGACCTAGTTCAGGTGTTGACGAAGGCTACAAAAAGGTCATGTGTGACGGGCCCTAATCAGTTGTCCTTTGGGCACCACAGTCACGTTCTCGGGTCACTAAGATCAACTCTAACCCAGTCTCACTTTCGGATACTATTAGAAGAATCCTTCCACGGCGTGGGCAACCGGAAAATGAAAACCGCCTTCACACCTCCGACAGCACTCAATACCACTGTATTCATAATCGATTTCCTTCTTCCATTCCCATTATTCCTCCTTCCCCGACTAACAACACCACACTTCCTCCGATGTATAAATGTGCCTGGTCCTATGTTGTAGCTGACTGACTGATAGCCGGTTATTGAAGATCACAGAACTCTCAAACCATTTTTCTTCATGGCTCATTTGATTTCGAATTTAACTGCTGAACATCTTTCTGAGAGAATAAAAGTGGAGACAAACGTTGGCAGTCAGTCAGCTACAACGTAAGACCAGGCACATATTTGCATCGGTCCAAGCTGCCATACCTTATTAGCACAACAAGATGAACACCAAATTCATAAGAGTAGTTAAGTCAATGGTGATAATATATAAAAGAAAGATTGTATATAAGGGCATAGTACAGGTAGAAAGAATCAGTTCGTAGAAAGAAATATATGAAGCGATTTTAATCTCATAGTTTAAAGGAAGACAAAGAGTGTATACGCATAGGCCATTGTGAACGATTCTGAGCCATGTCACCAAGAGTCTCCAACCATGGGTTACAATAGTCACGCGGACCCCAACCAAGTAGTCTGCATCTACCAACATGGCTCAGACCAGAAGTTAGTGACTTCAGGGACTGATGTCGCGTTTTGGTTTGGCCGTCCCTAACTTTCTTCCAACCATCCCCAACACTAGTCAGCATTGCACGTCGTGGTAATCGGTCTTCACGCATACGTAACATGTGTGCCAACCATCACAGTCGATGAAGATTCACAACTTCATCAACTGATTTACCATCCTTCCCTAATACCCTACGTCTAACCTCACTATTACTTACTCGGTCGTCCCAGCAGATGCGAGCATTATTTTTAAGGCATCTGTGATCAAATACTAGTAGCTTACGAATATTTTATACTCTTAGTGACTACGATTCGCAATCGTAAATTAAAACAGAACGGACTGCCGCGCAGTATACTCGTCATTTTATTGATAGACGAATATCTCACCTTCGCCATAGGTGACGTATGTTGGCAAAAGCCAAGCGAGCTTTTCGAATTCGTGCTGAGATTTCGTCAGACACCAACCCATTATGGCTGATCAGACTTCCGAGATAAGTGAAGTTGTCAACACGTTCGACTACTTCACTCCCTATCCTTAGTTCAGGTGTTGACACAGGCCAGTCCTGAAGCAACAACTTGCATTTAGAGGGGGAGAAGCGCATTCCAAACATTCTGGCATTGTTGCTCAGTGCTACCAAAAGACTCTGCATTTTATCAGCGTCTTCATCAAACAGGACTATGTCATCTGCGTATTCTAAGTCGATAAGTGGACCTCCTGGAAGGAGATCAATACCCGTGAATTCAGTAGACGAGAATGTTATTTCCATCAGTAGGTCTATGATGAAGTTAAACAAAAATGGGGAAAGTGGACAGCCTTGACGGATACCACTTGAGGTTGCAAAAGTAGATGACAGTTCGCCATAAGCTCTGACTCGACTAGTAGTGTTCGAGTAAAGAGCCTTCACAAGGTTTATGTACTTCTAAGGTACGCCTTTCAATGACAGACACTGCCACAGAATCTCGCGGTCTACCGAGTCAAATGCTGCTTTTAAGTCAAGAAAGACCACCATTGTCGGACGCCGATAAGTATGCCAATGTTCTAGAACCTGACGAGTGGTGAATATGTGGTCGATGCAGCCACGATCAGGTCTGAAACCAGCTTGATTCTCTCGTGTTTGCAGTTCACGAGTCCTAGTTAAGCGTCTGATAATTATCGAGGCTAGTATTTTAGATACTATATTAGTTAACAAACGTTAGCGACTTACAAGTAGTTATAACAGTAACACATTGAAGACCAAATAAACCTTTACTGTGACATTCTGATGCGTTTAAAGTATTTGTTGTTAGACTTAGAAATCGGTTTTTCGATTCCTTATTCAAGCGTTTATTTTATAGGTTCAGAGAACTCTCCTACAGAACCATTACGTCCGTTAATCTATCCAAATTGAAGTTGTATGTTAATTCGTTGGTTATGAACCTTGTTAAAAAACCTGACAATCTAAATAGCTGTAAGACAAGCTAAGCTATTCTCCGTCTTTCATCAGAATTTGTTATGATAATGTATGGTTTTCATGTGGCTGATGAATTGTTTCCCACATATCGATAATTGTCTAACCACCTTGAATGTCCCCATTCCATATGATGAAGCATTGGTTACATGGCTAACCTACTTCATTCTTCATCCTAATATTAAATAAAACGGATTGTTTTCAGAACTAATGGACGAAATCCTCTGATATTTGTTCATTTATGATTTTATTCTTCTATGAACCGTTTCACTATCTATTAACTTGCTTTTAAAAGTTGTATAATAATTGGATAATGATAAATGAACGGCACTTCATCAATAAAGGACTGTCGTTTTTCACGACCTGAGCGAATATCATATAAATAATGTTTACTGAACCTAATATGCACAAAAAATGTGTTAATTCATGCAGATTATCAAATAGGATATGCAAGAATTTACGATATAATCTGAGGTTTTACCCAAAACAGCCTGTCAGTTTGGTTTTGTTTAGGTCAAAGTTAAACTATTCCCGTGTGTAAGATTGAACAGTGACAATCTTCTAGTTACTATTTTTATGCTGGTCTTGATCCTCATGCTATTGTATTATTCAAGGCTTTTAATTAAACTCGTAAACGTTTTATTTAAATATTTGTTTCACTTATGAACTTAATTGTACTTTATCTTGTATATAAATTTTCCAGATGAATTGAAATATGATGAGCATAAACCTGTGCATGAGAACATTCACTGAATAGAAAACTGCACGTTATATGTAATATAGACATAAACAGTTGGTTAAATTGCTTCATACATAAATACATTTCAAAAGAAGACTATTATTCAAAGTATTCTGTTAGAAAGCACTTGTTTATTAGTATTCAGTATGCTGTTCTAGTTACGCAATATTCGAAAAAAAATTGAAAATAATTTATAACACTAGGAGGAAAGTACAGTGGCAGAGACTAGGCATGTAATATTGTGTACATTTTGTCCAAAAAGTTGTAGAAATGAATTAATTAACAGAACCAACTTTGTATTTTAATACTTCTTAAACATGGTGTTAACAGGTTAGTAGTACAGGACATATTTTAAATCAGCCATTCAGTATAGTTCTGGATGGATAATGTGTTTCTTAAGCAATTTCAAAAAAATATTTCTTTATCATAATTTAATTTTAAGTAACATAAATTTGGAGACAGAATATCTCCATTATTTGGCATTTGCTGCTGTTCACTATTCTTTTCAATACCTAAAACTTTAGCTTAACATAAGCTTTGTTGCGTCTACTATTCAGTGAGTCGTAACCAGTGTTCTCAGTTATAATCTATCGATTCAGTTACAATATATTCCTTAGTTTAATTAACTGGATTTTGCAGTACACTGTGGTTTGTGTCTAGCTATTGTAGGTAATCAGGAGGAAGCCTTAAACTTGGTGTTTATGTTAGGACGTGAAGATACAAAATGTTTATTTCTGTCAAAATAGTTTGGTTATGGTAAAACTGAGTGATACAGATTTGAATCCTACGGGGAGCAATATTCCACTAAAGATTTGAGTATACCATACTGACTAGTCCAACTACAACAAAGTCTAGATATAAGAATTATTCAATCAATGAATATGAGCTCTGCTAACTAACACTTTTGAGAAGTAACCACATTACAACAAACTTGTTTGCATATAAGACCTGGAAGAATAGCTGACATATCACATACTGTCAAAGTGTTTGAATTAACTTGTTTTATAGTAAGCTAATTAAGACATTTCCAAAATACTGAGTAATACTACTGTTAGATCAAAAGTGGATATGGTCAAGATTGAAATTCTATTCCTTTTTTTATTAAATTAACTTCTAGTAGGTAAACTGAAAATATGAAATCCATTTATTCATCGTTTGAGCTATTACTAGTGCATATATTAATGGGAGTTAATCAATCAGTACGTCACGTTATTTCGTGCTAAATTTATTATTTTCTTTTCTGAATTTGTGAATTCCCTATCCATCATCTCGTTTTTAACTGACATGATTAGAAAATACCTACGTTTTTTAGGAAGCGTTTCACTTGACTCGATGGCATAACGTATCTACTCATTATTGTTTAATAAAGTGTCGGCTTAATGATTAACTAAACATTTGTGGGTGGCAATGATATTACACGCCTTAATTATCGGATATCCATAATATCTTAAATAATGATGCTTCTTCTGAAGTCACGGCGTCTTTGAACTATGGGGTGGGGAGAAATAAAAAAAACCATAATACAAATATACAATAAGCATTAATTAATCGTGATTCTTTTCAAGCCGTATCTGAAGTGTAATTTTTTTCATGGCTTGTGTATTTCAATGGATTCAGTCGGCAAAGATAAAGTTTATTGAAGATAAAAGAGATCAAATAACACAGTTACGTTAGTGATAGAGAAATTACAAAATGAAACAAACAAAAAAAACCTTCATGATTTTGGTAATTGAGTGTTTCTACATTAAAACATTTGAAATAATCAGTGCTGGGTTCAAGTTTTCGAGAAGATATTAGTAAAAGAATTGTTGTATGATTTCAATTGATCAGTTATTAACGCTCATCTACAATTCCAATGATCAACATTATAAAACAAACAAACAAACGAAAACTTGTGAACCCTTGTAGACTGCTTACAAACCAAGTATTATTCATATTAAAATGATTTCATTAAAACATTCAACATATCTTCTAGTAATTATATAAAAAATATGAAACCTTGTAAATGGGTAGAAATAATGCATAATTTAATAGTTAGTGATAAATTTCTTTTTTATTTAAATACTCATATTGGGATTGTTAACTAATAAACAATTGTAACAGATGCAAACATTCACTATTTTTAACACATAGCATTGTCAAACTCATTAATGCATTGCCTTATTTTGGCCTTCATAAAATATTATAATTATGGACTTATAACAGTAGAGACTGATGATGAAGCTATTGGAAACAATTGTTCACTCAAATATTCTTTTTTTTTTGATAAACATGAATTTATCAACAACAACAATAAGTTCTTTAAAAAATAAACAAAGTTATGAAGTTGATTCCTTATTACATTTAACAAGTGATTAATATCTATGTAGGTAACACAATTTCTTATTATCCTTATTAAAACAATATGATAATGTGTTAATTGGTTGATACTGTAAGAAAAACAAATTACTGTTGAAAGAGAAGCATAGAACAATAAACAATAGAATATTGATCTTTCAGCAAATAAAAATTTGTTTAGAATGCTTTCAGTTCATTCAAACAAATGTATATATATATGCATAAATATATGATGAAAATGCGGACGAAATCTTAGGTAGTTTTAAATGAGATTTGTTTAAATGTTATGTATTATTTTTGTAAACAAATAAACAAACAGGAAGTGAATAATAAATTAATAATAATAATAATAATAAACAATAAACAATACATTTATTAAATTTTTATTAAAATGGTAATTAAATAAAGAAAAATTAGATTTTTCTTATGAATATACATGTTGATGAGCATGATCTTCTAATATCTAAATTTGTGACAGGAAAAAAGCAATAAAATGGGATTAAGGAAAAGAAAATTACCTAGTAATTAGGTGATGAGTGAAATTTCAAAAAAAAAACAACTAAAGATTGTATAATAATGAAGAAAACGTCATGTTGATCAGTCTAATTACTGATATTGTTCAGCATTGAATAACTTCAAAACAGCTATTCTATTGCAAAGGTGGTCAGGTTTATTTATCACGATTGCTCAGTCGAGCTATATTGGATGAAAAACTTGGTTCTTGAGGATTTGTCATACAAAGCACGTTGGTTTTAAAACGATAAGAACTCAAGCAGCAATTTAAGGTATGAGAACAAAGTGATTCTACTTGATTTTATAGGACTGTGATGGCAGTAAGCTGTTGCTCTTAGAGGATGATATCTTTTCACAACAGATTGAAAATTAGAAAAGGTCAGCTTTAAGAATAGAACACTTCACTCTGCCCTATGGATTTCTGTCTCCAGTGATAAGGACAGGGCTAAAACACATGAAACTAATCACTAAAATGCTATGTGTGACTGACCTCAAGAAGTCATCCTTTTCTTCCTAAAATCACGCGCTAAGATCGTCAGGACCACTACTAATCCAGTTTCATGAGCAGGCATCTTTCTACAGTGTGTGCAATCAAATAGCTATAACTCCATCTTATACATCTAACAGCAAACGAGATCACCTTGGTTTATTGATTACTCACTATTAATCCAAAGATTTTGTATATTATTAGTATAGGATTGTGGCGATTGTTGAGTTTTACTGAAATCATGAGCAGATCAAGGTTAGACCACCATTTACTGCTTTCAGGTTTTCAATAATGGTTTAACATTGATTAGTTTATGATTTCAATGAGATTTTGTAGATATTAAAACTATAATTGTATGCACTATCTGAATAGTTATCAAAATGTAGCTACTTTTTTTTAAAACTATGACATGATAACAAAGTTTTCAATATAAATTAGTCAGTTTCTCGAACTACCATCTTTTCTGATTAGAAGTAATATAAACCAATTATAAGATTGAACAGAAACAATATTGCAAGTCATTTGTTTTCTAACTATGATTATCTTATTTCTTCTAAATAAAATAACAGAAATATTTAAAGAGAAGGATAAAAATTAGTGAGAATGGTTGTTTACATTTATTTGAGTATTATAGGCTTATTTTTTCGAAAAAAATGTCAGTTTCCAAGATAATTCATAATGATAACTAAGATTATATTTTACTACTGAAACTATAATTTTTATATTTCGTAAAGAAATGTAAATACTACACACTTAAACTGGTGTACTCACAACCAGCCTTCGTAAATATTTAATTGGTTGATAATGAGTTGTGCTGTAAATCACCTTGAAATGTTGATATTTTTCTATAATATAAAACTAACTATAACATGAATATTTACACTTTAGAAGTTCTTAAATTCTCAAAATTAACACATCTATCTATTTGTTTTAAGACTTTAAAAAAACTTATTGGTTTATTCTAAATATACGTAAACAATCGTACCTCTTTATTGAATTGTGAACAATTCAACGGAAGATATAGATCACATGAAGCCCAATTACATCGAAATTCATCGGTTGATTCGCCTAAATAATGATCTTGTACAACATGATTGACTAATTCATTTTTATTGATAAAACCAAGAGAACAAAATTCAACCTAATGGAATAAGAAAATTTGAATTAAAAATTTGTGATCTATGTATCATATTTGTAATATGATGTAGGTCTATGAAGAAAAGTAATACTTTCAACTAATTTCATATTTTCATTACAACTACGATACATTTTAATTTTATTGTGAATTTAATATCCGACTGACATAAAAGAAAATCAGCTTATGCTAAACAAAGATATCACGTTCTTTTTTAAATGTGACAAGTTGTGCCACACACTCATGAATGTGGAGAACGCTTCGATAAATCTTACAATGCATAATTTTTGTTTGTCGTTTTGTTGCAATTTTTACGCCGAATTTCTGTGAATAACATGGTAATTAGTTTTTAAAATTGGCTTGTTTTTCCATAATATAAGCGGAAGGTCCTACAGAGACTAAAAGTATTTAAGTATATCTTGAATTATACTACTGATTGATATAAGTAGCTAAAAAGTACATAAATTAAATAACTGGTTGTATTAGCAGAATAATTAAGAAAAGAGTGATATTGTTTGAGTGGTGGAAAATCATGATTGATTTAAGTGTGCAGCTCATTAGAGCTTCTACTTTCTTATGATACACTGGCAGGAACAAACTAACTAACGCATATCGTGGTATAAGTTTCGTGTACATACGTTTCAATATTAACGCTGTGATTAGATTCACTGCAAGATATTGTGCAATAGTTTAAGGGACTTATACAACAAGTCTTTATTCAAAATGATGTCAACTAGTAAATCATTAACAATCTTAAAAGAAAATTAAGTAATTGGCAGAAATTCATAATCAGAGGCCTGTGCCCAATCGGTGTACAAATTTATTAAACGAAGCTATGATTTTTTCATCAACGAATAAACTACATTGCTTACTGACAAGAAACAGATAAAAGAATATTTCCGTTTCTTTACTGGGGAGGTATTGAACGTATTTGTTGCTCTGATCAACAGACTAGTTCTTCTATAAATGAAATATTTTTTAACATTAATTGGTAGCATCTTTAACACAGATCAGGATTTTGTGTAACCCACAACTCTTCAATATACATTTATTCAAGTAACTGTACAATTAGAATAGACTAAAAAAGAGGGGGAGTAAACGGATTCAGGATCTACATTTCATGTCAAAATCATACTCTATAAGCTTAAGTGAATCGATATGAATCAATCCTATTCAGCTTGTAAATATCATGCAGTTTTTTATCTGTTCAATCCATAACTGATGATCTTTGTTTGAAACTTATTCTATCCTAAAACAGCGTACTCAATAATGCTTGAATGAAACAACTGGAAAGGTATACAGTATCACCATAAAACAATACATCTTTTCAAATAACTGAGACTTACCATACAACTAAAACAAGATTCAGGGATATGTGTTATATGAATCTCACCATTTTCTAACGCTGTTGCAATCTAAAGTAACAAACAATGTCAGATGTATCATGCCATTAAACTATGTGTCATACAATTGTTGTTATAACAGTGGATTGTAATAGTGATTTTCACTAAAAGTAGCAATCGTAAATTTGGAAGTTTATAATTTAATTTGATTAAATCTTTCAGTATAAGCACTTGATTTTAAAATGTACAATTGGTTTGTGTTGGAAGATAATGTCCTAGAATGAAATGCGCTTGTTTTCAGCCACCCCCCTCTCAATATTATCTGTGATATAATGAATGGGATCTCTTAATCAAGGATATGATCGGGGAAATTAGTTATTCAAACGTTTTGGAATACGTATACTAACTAAAATTTAGGGGAATAAACGTTGGTTAGTGAAAATAAAAGAATATGGTCAGCGTTCTAGAACATGGTTAACTTATACACAACACTGATATTTGTGCTTAGTGGACGTGGGTTTTTCAATCATAGGGGTCTATATGCAGTGTTATTGAAACGTCAGTTGAGTTACTCTTATTTTCAACAAAAGCTTAACATAACATAAATTAGATTTGTATTCACTAGCACATGAAGGTGTGATTAAGTCGTTGAGGATATATGTTTCTAAACCTATCGATTATTACTTTTAGTTTACTTGATTTGAGAAACGTTGAATTATGATAATAAATGATTGGCTACCATGACATTGTTGGGTGAAGTTTTCACAATCATACATGAAATTACATGTACCGATGGGATTTCATTATAATAACTAAAATTTATCACGTCTATCAACTGATTTTCCAGGAAAAAAGCGGATTAAAAATCAATCACACATGTGATATGGCAACGATATTAGGGTTAGATTTTTGATGAGTAAATTACTATTATTGTCATACAATAGAGATCACTGAATAAATGTGTGTAATGATTACTAACAACCAATTTCTCTTCACATTTAAGAAGCAAACTTCACAAGGAAGTGTTGCCTGTCACTGAGTATAATGTCATGGAATTTCACGTTTATCCAAATTATCGGGATTATCTACTGTATTAAGCCAGTAGTTTTTGACAAACAATTAGAATCTTTTGTAAAGACTCCGAAAAACATTGTCCTTCAACATTTTGTGTGCATAAAAGCGGAAAAAACTGTAGACAAACGCTTTAGCCTTTTGTGTTAATCACTGAATTTCTCATGTGTTTAAAAGTTACCATAAATGCAGTTATGCTAGATTTATGTATGCGAGAAAAAAGTTAGTTTAGATATTTCATTTCCTTCAGGGATGCATTTGTCTTAAATCAGCTTTTTCATTCGATAGCATGAACAATAAAAATATCTTTGTTGATAATTGTTCCAAAAATTATGAATTTTCATACACTAACAACACTACAAAATCTATAGATTTGATCAGTTGACTTGATGAAGACTCAAGGTCAATAAGAATTTGAGTGGATACATATAATGAACCAGTTCTAAACTTCTTTTTGACTGAGTTAAGATGTACAATCGCTAAATGAATTTTGAGTTCATTTCAATAATAGAGTTTTCCTTTAAATTGTCGTGAAATGATCAGAATTGCAACTAATTACATTTCATTATAAATGCTACTTAGTAAGGTCTAGTCTCACATTTCAAACTCAGTTAAATTGGTTGAAATAAGCAAAGAATTATCAGTCATCTTTTTCTTAAAAATGGTTCAACCTCATTTTGTTGATGTTTAAATGATCAAATAAGTAATGATAAGGTATTTTATTTATTAAGGAAGTAAGATTGAGATAGTCTATCGATGTTGGATGAGGATAAAATCAACGTTCAATCATCACTCATAATATTTAGTTCCAAGGTTAAATGTCCGCAATCAATATAATTATAAATTACATTAAGAGATGGGTGATAAATATATATTCAAATTTTACTTTCATGGTACAAAACGCCTTTAACATAATTTATTTCTTTAGGAAGTTATTTTAATTGATTTCTCACATGCATGATGAAATTACTACTTAAGTAAATAAGCATTTATCGTTCAGTTCTTTTCAATGATGAATATAGAGATAATCTGCCTAGATACCTAATTTGTATGTTGATCGTATATCAGTTACTTCAATATTTAATAAAATAATATGTTGCACATAATGTCATGCTTTGGGGGAAAATGAGGTTGATAAGACAACATAGTATGGAATATTCAACATTTTGGTGTAAAAAATGGAAGAGAAATAAAATCAAAGACAATTATTCAAAGCAGTTATCCAATTTTAATATTATATTAATGCTATTATATATAAAGAAATAAAATTGTTTTACTTACAATGGGTGTAATACCTAAACCCGATGAAACAGTTGTAATCTGTGAATTAGTTGATAGTACAGGGCAAACTAATAGACAACTTCTACCTTTTGTATCTAATCGACGTTGACTTTCAAATGGAGAAATTTCTAATAAACGATTTCTATTTACAGATATCCATGTGCGTCTATGCTGAGATTGATTTAAATCAGCTGGTTGTGGCCATGATTTTGATAAACAATTAATTGGTTGCATAAATGTAGGTAATTTAAATTTGGATAATATATCAAATGTCTTCAAATTATTGGATTTGAAATGATGCAAATGAGGAAATAAACAAAAAAAACAAAAGAAAATAATTATAAATGATAATATATATCAGAAGAGGTTTTTGTGGATATTATAGTTATTTCAATAGTTGAGATCATGAGTCATGAGCAATCGAAACACGGCCATTCCAGTACTTTCAGGTTTTCCATGTAGGTCTAGCTTTAATTAACTCATGATCTCAATTATTGAGATAATATGCATGTCTAACATATTCTGAGATTGAATAAACGTCCTATTATTACGAAACTAATTTTAATCTTAAATTAAGACTAAAAACATATTGCTTTCTTTAATCTATACTATAAGTAAATATTATTTGGTAACCATATAATAATACATTTGATAAACTTTTAACTAAATTTTTCAATATCAGAAATGTGATTACAATGTGCCTAGTTGATTCAACTGAAGTAAATGAGATGGAATTTGAGTGTGTTACCACCTTTAAACATTGAATCCTTGCGTCTTTGTATTGTTTCATAATTAGATGCTCATGATGATGGAACATAAGTAGGAAATCAGTAATATCTATCGCAAATAGTTTTCTACGCAAGCAAAGATAGATAGTGGCTAGCAGTGGAATCCAGGACGCGCGTTTCGTCCTACCTGGGACTCGTCAGCTGGATATACCTGCATCTCAGAGTTCACGTCAACTCTGGGATTGGAACCCAGTACCCTTCGCTTCAAACTCAATCGCGTTATCCATTTAGCTACTAAGTTCTGATAGCCACTTGCTTGTAAAATGAGAAGATACAAGTAAACAACATCCAGTGAAGATTTCTATACATTGAGGTAAAAAATTTTATTTGCTTACATGAAAATAAAAAGATCAGTTTTTTCTTATGATAGAAATTTCTAAGAGCAAATCAATGTTTTCTAAGTGAAACAGTAATGAAAATAAAAAAATTAGATGATTTTTCTTAGAAAAACAATCGGAATAGTACATTTTTAATCTATAGAAAGTTCAATAGGAATATGTGCATTTGTTGTTTAATTCACAAGGAAGCCAAAAAAACTGTACAACAGACAATTTGAATTTTTCAATCTATTTTATTACTTCATTTGTACATGTTAATGTTGAACAAAATTACATTGAATTTGGAATTGTATATATAATGTTGACATATAGGAGAAATATGGTAGGTTACTGTTTTACATTGATAATTTACAGAAGTATCTTAATCAAACACAAACTTTGTCGATTAATTCTATTGGTATATATTAAGGAGTTATTGCGATGAGAATATAAATGTTTTCCAATTGTTGATTACTATAGAAGTCATTCAGTTAGTTTAAAACCATGGTTAATTTAAAAGTATTGTGATGTATGCTAATTATGCTGACAAATATAAGTAGTATGTGGCACCAATCAGAAGATGAATGCTTGAGGGCAGAAGTTTGAGAAGAGAACAGGAATATAAACAGAAAGTATTTACAATAACAACAGGTATAAAGAAACGATGAAGTTTGTAAGAGAGAAATGATAGAAGATGTGCAAGTGATGTATTGGATATATGACTTTTGTATTTTGTTAAGCCACTGTAAGTTTGCATTAAGCAAAAAACCGGTCTTCCCCATATGATTTCTTCGTTACCTACAGTATTATTTGGAAACCTTTTGTAGTTTTTTTACAACAATGATATTACTAAAAGGGAAACTTTTGACTCAATAAATCTTTATGTTAAACGATGTACTGCGTCCTTGAACTATAACACGATAGCTAAGATAATGTTATGAAACATTGTGCTATGTTAGCAAAACAAGGTGATGTATTTCTAGATACATTAATTAAACGATATAAGTCATTTATTCTTAGGGTTGTATAAATAGAAAACTCAAGTAAATTGAATGCTTTATTGGGGTTTCACTGTAGTAAACTATTATTACATTAGATTTGAAACGTCTATACGACAATACATAATTTCGATAATAAAAAAATCAGTAATACAAATTGTTGTTGTCATCATGGCGAAAAGATATATCTGGTTAAAAAGTTGTGGGAACGTTTAAAGATGATCGTAGTTCATAAAATAAAACTATTCCTACTAGTTAGCAAAAAAATGATTCTAGCATTTTGGATCTGTAGTGTACTTGGTTTTTAAGTAAGCCAAATAACTTGTTTCATTAAAGAAATATGAAGAGATTAAGAAAGCTCTTAGTTTCAGTTTCAAACCACTTTCTCCCAAAAACATGTTAGAGAATGATACTCCTGTTAGTTCTATTATGTTTAGTCCATTTTTTAGAATAGTAGTAAGGATGATATCTTTGAACCATAGAGTTAGTATTCAATAGTTTACAAATTTAATTCTTGCCAATTTGCAATATTACACAAACATGATTAATTTGCATTAATGATATTCGTCTTACTACCAACATGATTGAAATTCACTGTTTGCATCCTCCTGATAGAAGTTTGCGAATATTTGTAGATGTTATTCATGAAACTTTTTATAATGAGTTAGATTAAGTAAACTGCGATGTTTGCTACAAAGTAATATTAATTGTGGAAGGAACTAAATAACATTAAAGAAATATCGAAAGATAAATATTTATCTGTACTTTGATATCATTTAAAACTGATTCATGAATAGTTATGCTGGTTTGTAAGATATGATAAACTGTCAGAAAACAAATCTAAACAACATCACTTAAATACAGTTTTGATTCATAGATGTTGTGTGAAATAGATAATAACAATAATAATTAATAATAATAAACAAAACAATATCAAGACTTACATGTAAACTAAGCCAAAATATTTCATTTGTAAAACACATACATAAACTACCAGAACATCCACTTTCAACAACTGTCATATCAATTAAATTAGAATTAAGATCATTTGATAAAATTTTATTATATGATACAGTATTACGTAGACCTTTACTTTTACAAATCCAATTTGTTAAACGTAGAATTTTTCTTCTTGTACATTCATAAGCTGCAGTAATAAAACTAAATTCACATGGATTTATATCATTGAATGAATAGATTTGTGAATTATCAATATTTGAGTTTGTTTTATTTAATTTTAATTCACCATTGGGTTGTGAACGAAAGTTGTCGTGAATATATGTACAATATTTAAAATCTCCATGTTTTCCTTTACGTGATATCTTAGTAGAATTTTATTTTAATGTTTTAGAAAAAAAAGTGAACAACAGAACAACGGAAATATTACGTACTATTCAATGACTTTAAAATTATTCACTAGTTTGATGCAAGTATGTGACTAATATCACTTTTTTCAACAAAAAAAATGAATATACAGAGAATATTGAGTGCAGAAAGATTGTGAAAAGTCATTTAATTTACTAGTAGTAATTGCCAACGTCTAACTTGGGAGGAAGACTGAATATCGATTTCATGATACTATGAGACCTTTCAGCAGTAAACACTCACCGGTCTTTTAAAGATTATACGGATCTCCACAAAACTCTTCCATCCAAAATATAATTTTATGATCACTACTGATTTACTCAGAGATAAGCTCCTGAAGTTCTAGTTGGAAGTCTAAACATAGGAAGCTCACCCATATCGAGAGTAAAGTAGTCGGAGGTGGATGAGAGCTGGTACAGATTATGAGTTAATGGAATTTCAAAATATGGACTAATGGATAAAAACGATTTGAAGATTTAACGTCCACCGTGAGCCATGAATGTCGATTAAGGAAATATCCCTTAATATATGACAAATAAATTATTTATGCAGAAAGGGATCCTTTCTACTGTGTTTATCTGCTCAATGCTTATCAGCCTGATATAACATCTACACTAATCATACGACACAGTCCAACAGTTTTCATGAACTGAAGTCATGTTTTGGTTTGGTTGCACTCGTCTTCCACTTAACCGAACATATTAACTGTCAATCTATAATACCAGGGTTGGTGATAGCTGATAATAAACACAAAAATATCTCTGAGATTTTTGAATTAGCTGGCCTTAAATTTCTTACATTTATTACTTAACGTTGCTTGTTATAGCAAATAAGTATCAAATTAACGACTGACTAATTACAACAATATTTAAGAACTATGAATATTTACAGAAAGTCTACGACTGTAGGCATAATTAATACAAACATGTATATATGATTTGTTTAAAATTAATTAATTATTGGAATTTTATAGTCAGAGAGACTGATTAATATAGAATGACATCAGATTTCTACAATTTTACTCCTATTTAATTTATATATCAAACTCTACTTAATTCATGTTTGCCTATTTGTCAAATCTTCAGTTTTAATTTCCAATTAAATTCTTATTATCAATTTGTAAATGTAATTTGATGATTTAAAAAAAAACATTGTTTAACACAACTAACGTTATATTGTTTTACTTAGAAATATGATAAATACTAATTCAATATTGAATCTTCTTATCATACACAAAGTAGTGAATACCCTAGAGAAACTACCTCTTTAGTTGTAAAGAGAGAGAGTGAGTGACAGTTATAGTTTATCTTTAGGAGAGCGAAGCCAAGTAAAGTTAATAAACTCCACCTACCTAATAGGGTCAAAAACGATTATAAATTAGTTTAAGAAATCGGAATCGGGATTTAGAGTTAGAAGTTAGGATTTTCATCACGAAACGACATTAGCTATAATATTGAAATGTTATTTAGCCATATGGTTGAGTGAATTTCGCGTCAAAATTTAAGATACGGTATCCTAAACCTGATTGGTTTATTCCTAAGTTATCGTCTCACCGATCCAGAGATGGTTTGTGGTCTATAAGTTATGTCAGATGTCTACTATGGAACATTTCGTGAAACTCCATAAATGAAAAATATTTAGGAGAATTCCCTTTTTTGATGGGGCTGTAATTAGGTCTGGTACTTCTGAGTATCCCGGACGAGTAGGATATGGCCATCTCTGTGAAATAACTGCACAAATGCTGTAATTTGAAGCATCCTCGACTACCACAATTTCTAATTTAGAATCATAGTAGGCTCACATTAAATCAATACAGTATATGATAACACTTTGTTCCCTTTATTGAGCGATCATAGGTATTACTGAGACCACTTATACTTCCCACCATTCAACAAGAGTTGATTTTATGTATATATCATTTGATGTATGGATGAAATAAAAATGTTGTAGAAGTTGACCATACCCAAAATAATCGTTACTTGTCATAAATATATATTTATATACATATATATATATATAAGGAAACTCACCTCTTTAAAAATGTTTGTTCCAATTTCTAATGTTTCATCGCATAATGTAGGTTCATTGAGAACTGTATCTTTATTATTTGTTATAATTTTCCATTGAGAAATAGTTAATGAACCATATGTATCAATACTGAATATAGATTGAGGTAAATATTGATCTAGTTTACCTTGACATGGAATTAAACTAGCACAATATACTTCACATTCCAATATTGTTCTTGAAATCATATTTCGAGTCTACATATAAAAATAAAACAAGGATTTCTCTTTCTTAAATATTAGATTTGCACATTTGAGCATTATTTTTTTTATCATTATTAATGTCAAAATATCCAGAAATGATTTTTAATTCTAAATAAATTTGTGATAAAACCTAACTGTATAAATGAAGCAGTTTTTTAAAAAAATCTTAAGATTTATAAAATATTTAATTCCCATAGGAATTACAAAACTTAAATGTACATTAAACTAAAATCATTTTCAATCACAGTTAGATATCTAAAAAAAGGTAAGTTTTATTCAGATCCCGAATTCAACCGTTATACATTCACCAAAAAGAAAGAAGCAATGAACAGCTTTTTTGTTCTAGTATGGTACTTCACAGATATGACCATCCACAATCTTACAGAAGAGTGACACCACAAACTTTAGTCTAATGTTCAAACACTTAAATTACAGACAACTGAGTAGGAAATTTGATAATGTATTTGTTCAGCTCCACTTAATTTATACTACATTCGGCTGCCAACTTTTTTTGTCTTTGTAAGGTAACTGACTTATAACGAACACATCTGAAATTTACTGATCACGACTTCCTGCGAGAATTCCAGAATTGCCTTTCGAAGTTATTTACTAGTGAGAGCCTGACAATTATCAGTACAGAGATTCGTGGAGATTACTGAATATTACTGATGAGTAGTACTTCCAGGTTTTTAATGGATATCGGTTCGTAATATCAATAACATTCAATAATTTCCTCAAACATCTATAAAGAAGATGAATTTTAAAGGAATTTGATTTTAATTAGATTGCTAACAAAAATAAACCATTGATCTTAACTTAGTAATCATCGATCACGTGTATTAAGTTCGTTAACATTTGATGACAAACTGTTAATTAACATCTTTTACGGTTTATACAGTTTTTCAATGAATTGATTTGATTTGTAGTGTATTTGTAATACTAGATAAGATACCATTGTGTGCAAATTTATTTTTAAAGTCACATGTTAAGTTAAACATGATGTAATTAACGAATAAACTCTTCGGATCTGAGAATATGAGATCATTATAATTAATGGGTGTAAAATTAGAATTTCAAAACTATGAATTTAGAGAGATTAATATGATTTATTTCTTTATTTATTACAATAATAATATATTAGTTCTATAAATTATAAAATAGGTATGTTAAATTAAGACAAGATTGCTAAAATAACTAAGGGAGTCTAACAACGTCGGGTGGGATGAAGGCGGAATATAGTCATGAGGTGTCATAGAGTGATTGGAATCAAAACTGTAAACTACTGAATTCCGCCACAGATGTATGACAAGTTCTCTATGTAGTATCTAAAGGTCCCAGGTTTCATCCTCAATAGATTCATTGATATACACTGTGGTGAAGAATTCCATACTAAGAGGAAACAACTTTTTAATACTTCCTGGTTTTCAGTGGGTGTTTAACTAAGATTGGTCCATTATGTAAATTTTGAAATTCAATAATTCTTACAAGGCCTTAATACAATGATAAAATACCATCTGATGTTTTGCCGAGGAAACGTATTACCACTTCGAAACTATCCACCCATTAGACATGAATGGAGAAAAGTATATAAATACATTTAGCACCTAAAATTATCATATTTACAGATGAATGAAACTAGATGATGATCGATACCATTTAGTCAAAATATATTTGATTAGAGAATTTTAAATACTGTATTAGAAATAAAATTTGAATCTTACCGTTCTTCATTAAAGTAAATAAACTCCAAGTGTTGGTACATATAATTGACAATAACTTTATTGTTTTCGCCTTAATTGCTTACGCATATCTCGCTTTTTAATATATCATTCGCAATTGTTCATTCATTAAATGATTATGTTCAGAAAGGGATTTTGTGAATATTATAGTAATTTAATAGATGAATTCATGAGTCGATTAAAGCTAGACTACCATGGAAAACTTGGAAGCAATGGACGGCCTTTTCGTTCTAGTATTGGACTCCGCAGCAGTGCGCATCCACGATCTCGCCTCGCGGGCGCCTAACTACTAGACCACAGAGCCGGCATCTAACGGTATTAATGTCTAATTTCAACCAATCAATGAAAATGAGAATTTGTAACAAATAAACTTATACTATATCTTACATGAAATCTAGTATTTAAATAAAACTTTAATAATGTTTAAACTATTAGTATCATACATTTTACTGTCAAAATTTTCCCGTAGATTCCAATTTACAAAATATTTCATTAAATGATATTGTTTACTGATCATTATTTAATAGTACTTATTGACAAAATTCTATGACACTAAATGGACCTCTCTTTTCTCATAGAGACCCCAATTCAATATAATCCTATATCTCTGTGTAGGTATGTGTTCATTTATCGATAGACATTGTTCTTTTCATTAATGCTATAAATTTGTTACAAAACAATACAGTAAAAAAAAAGATTTTTTTGAAAAAAAATAGTGTTTTCAACTTACAGCTATGTTATATAGCGTTAAAATTCCATTCTTTTGAACAACACATAGAAATCCAACATGTGCTTTTGAATTATCAGAATATTCTAGTGGATTCAATGAGAACAGATGTATTACAGGACTCGTTGATGAAATAGCATGATTCATAAATTCTGTTAAACAACTATGGGTCTATAAAATTTAAATATTTTTTTAGAAAAGAAATAAGAAATAAATGAGTTGTCTCTTTTGTGTATAAAGAAAATTTGTATTTATATTTAGTCATTTTATAAGTTTGGAGTTGGTTTGATGTAACTCTGTTGTTTACACAAAAGAGTTTATTTGTTCACCAGCAGGACAAGTGTTTCGTTTTACCTGGGACTAGTTAGCCGGAAGTACTTCCAACCTACTGTTGCAATTCACATCAGGACTCGAATTCAGTAACATCAGCTTCAAACACTCAATCTGTTATTCATTAAACCACTGAGTCTATATATCCACTAACTTGTTCAATGAGTATAATGTTAAGATTAGTATTAGTAAGGATTTAAGTTATCTCATTATTGATATTAAGAAGTATTCTTGACTATTCTTGATTGGAATATGGGCATCCTATGAGGATTGCCTTGGTATAGCCATCTATGTCATATGTTATTGGCATTGATAATTGCAAAATATTTACAACTTCATTCTAATTCAACAATTATTAGTTACCAAAATGTTATCTGTTTGTTTATAATGCAGAAACAATTTTGTTTTTATTGAATGCTGATGAAACAAGCTACCTGTTTCTGAAAATAAAATGTCTAAAGTGTAGTCTGACAGTCAACCTTGAACAGTGATAGTTAAATGCTTAAAAAATATAGACTTATGCATTAACTTTACATATTCTGTATCTAGACCAGAAAATTGGAACAGAATTACTGGTGGATTCTTAGTGAAATAATAATAATTTTTTTCAGTGTTTATTTACAAAATACACTTATTTTACAAAAAGATCCTAAGTATACTAAATCACCTCATTACTTTTATTCTCAGAAAAGAACCCTTGAATAATATTAATTTCAATATTTCATCAAAACAACCTGTTACGTACGAAACTCATTCTCGTAAGTTAAGTACATTTACTGACTAGTGGTATGTTTGGTAATTAGTTTGAGATGAACCTGACAAATTCGTGAAGATAAAATGTGATCTATGGACACAGTAGAGTTGGCAGTTAGTTATCCTCCAACTGTTTTGATATAGTTCTCAGTTGTAGGCGCAGACTACTAAAGAGTCCTGGGCTATAATGAAACTGTTCTTCAATGCTCTTTGGTTTTCGATAACTCTCAATATAATGTCAGAGTGAGTCAACAGTAGGAACGAGATTTTTATTAGTATGACAGTTTTATACAAATTATTCGACTTATGATTTATATCAAGAACTAAAACTTATTGATTTATACCTAGAGGAATTGTAGATACATGTTACTGAGGAGACTGAAACAGCTAGCTAGAGTTTCGTGCTTGACGTAAACTACAGGGAAAAAATGGAATAAAATTGGACTTTTATTTATTCATACACACAAACCATATTTTAATAATGATTTATTGACACTTAATTTGTTATTTTTACTTTGAATTTCCTGAACAAAATTAATTTTTGACCTTTTTTAAACAAAAGTTTATTTAAAGCAATTAGTCAATTAGTCCCTTTGATGAATTTCAACAATGTAATAAGAAGACGAAAATTATTAGAACTATGTGATATATTAGCGCAATACATTTCGAACAATCTGATCACATATAATATACTTGTTAAGAACATTTATACATAAAAATTAAAGGTCAACTAGACTGGAAATGGGGGTCACAGGAGACAAGGATAATAATAATAATAATAAGAGTAATAATAATAATGTGAACACAATGTGAAACCTAATCACTCTGGCTAATAAGCCAATATTACCAGGGTAGGTTTAAGGGGAGAACAAACTGTTTTTGAATACACAAACGGGGTTTAAATTTTCGTATGGCTAAGGCTTTAATAAATTTTAGTATACGCCCTTTTACACCTTTCTACAACACCGCAAAAGCCGAGTTAAGATCAGTCTTATGGCCTGTTTCGATTTTATGTTTAGAAATAGAGGATGATGGATGTTTATCCTCTACTCTTATTGGGTCACTTGATCCTATTTATTTCTGCAACCATTTTGGTACATGTTCACTCACCCTAATGTTGAGATCACGATTGCTCCTCCCTATGTATGTGTGACCACACAAACATTTAAATTGGTAGACACAGTGAGATATGACACAATCGTTTTCATGTCTTTTAGGTTTTGGATGAAGTATGCACCATGTTCTTTCTTTGATAATGACCTTTGCTGCGCAATACGTTTTGTTGATGACTGATTTAAGTCTGTTTTATTTGAATCACCTTGAAATGTAATGCGCTAATGTATCACAAAAAGTTTATTTTTGTTGTTGTTTACTCTTATACAATTCAGCTTTCTATTTCTTTTTTGGCTTATTCTCATAACTTTATTTACTGATTTTTTCTGAATAGTTTTGTGATGAATTACTAGGAAAAGATGAGTATTAGTTTAGTTTAATTTTAAAAAAATAGTGTTGACTGACATGTTTTCGAATCCTCCTACATGTACATACATGATTAACAACCTTAATTAGTTTACTTGTAAAGGTATGCGTACATAGATGACAAAATCTATTTTAGTAATGACTGACAGAATGAATTTAAAACATCACAGGATAATAGTTGGATAATATATTCATTTTTCTTGCTTTGAATTTTTGATGCCACTAAGTAATGAAATCTATAATTTGCTTGAATTTTACTGGAGATCAATCTGATTGATAATGGTGTTTCATTGTTTTACAGTAATTTCCAAAATTATACATTTATTATAGAATCAGCTCATTCGTTAAAATTTTGTCATTTATAATATTACTGAATGGTTATTTATATTTGTGAGTAACATATTTACAACTGAAGAGCATCTGGAACTCAAAACAACTGTCAACCAACACCAAGGTCAGGATTTTCAGTACAAGTGTCAAGACAGTTCTACTGTATGGGGCGGAAACCTGGAGAACTACGAAAACCATCATCCAGAACAAACAAGTGTTTATTAACAGTTGTCTACACAAAATACTTCGTATCTGTTGGCCAGATACTGTCAGCAACAACCTACTGTGTGAGAGAACAAACCAGATCTCAGCAGAGTAAGAGACCAGGAAGAAACGCTGGAAGTGGATAGGACACACATTGAGGAAAGCGCCCGAATGCGTCTCAAGGCAAGCCTTCACATAGAATCCTGAAGGTCAAAGGAGGAGAGGGAGACTAAAAAATACGTTACGCCGAGGAATGGAGACAGATATGAGTAAACTGAACAAAAATTGGATAGAACTGGAAAAGAAGGCCCAGGACAGAGTAGGTAAGAGAATGCTGGTTGGCGGCCTATGCACCATTGGAAGGAAGAGGCGTAAGTATGTATGTAATTGCATTTGTATAATTGTCAAGTATCTTGTTGAATCTTCTATAATATTTCAAAATTTTAAGTCTAATTTTTGATTGTGAAAATTCTTTTAAAGGTTAATAAATACTCCATTTGTACTTTTGAAAGTATAAATTATGTTACAATGAAGTGTTAACATGTAGTTATTTTAACGAAAAATGATGATTTTAATTCTTAAAATTGTCTGTTGAATAAACATGTTCAGATCTCAAATAGACGAGGTAAAATTTCGTTTGAACCCTGTACTCCTCAAAATTTGTGCAAATGATCTACAATGAATGACAAAGTAATCCATCTTACTATTTACCGATAATGTTAAGGCTATAGAGAATTATACACAAGACATGCAATAATACAGAGGTTTGGATCAAATCAGACACCTTAGGTGAGTAGATAATTAAAAGCCTATTATAATTCAAATTTAGTAGAAATGCTGTAACGTAATTCAGCCTTGACCATGGGAATTTCCATTATTGGATTTAACTTCATAATTCAGGTCAGTGATCATCAGGATTTAAGAGTTGTATAAACAAGTCGTTCATGGAGGTTTCAATTTTTGAGATTAGTTCTTGATGGCTCTCAAAATTTGGATAAGAATACACTTCGGATTTTATTCCTGGGTAATGTAAGATCATAGTTAATATACGTAATTCACGTAGAAGATTGAAACGTGTTCAGAGGACTGAACTTTTTGGTTTATCATATAATTATTGACTTCAATTCCTTCAAGCTTTTCAGATTGTTCTACTTTAAGTTGAAGAATAACAGTTTTAGATATTTTGTCTATTTATTCAACTCGCAATCAAATCTCTTATTTTTGGAGACTTGTTTTTTCAACCGAGTCGTAAGCTACTTTGCCTTAACATGTAGTATCATCAACTTTTTTGAAGGCAAGAATGAAACTCTGTAGTATATCTGTTCTTAAGAACGTTTATGACCGTGTGTTTTAGGAGTTTTTGTAATTAGAAAAGATTTATTAACACAAATGAGTGAGAGATCGGGTTACTAACCTGACAAGGTAAGTTGTTTTATAAGAGATATTGCTTTTATCTTCTATGATCTTATTATATTTTAGGTTCATTGTAAAGCTCTAAATTTTGGAATAAATTTTCCCGTAATGAGTGAGAATTACTTGTTAAGAAATTCGCGAGTTCTCCAAATATTTTATCCAAACATTTTTCTAACTAGATATGAATCAAGGATTATCAACCAGCATTCATTCACTGTCCTATTGTGAAAAATACCTAAGGTGAGGGATGTTAGTCTACGATCATGAGTTATTATGAGTTGAAATGAGGTATGTTAATTAGTGATTTCAGAGAGATAATGTGGTTTTTGAATACTTGCATCTTATTTGATCGTTATGCATTGATTGTCATTATTAAATAGCTGTTTTTTAATATTTTTTAAAGTCCAGTTACTAAATTCCTTTTTATTGAATAACTGTGATGGTATTTTTGCACAATTCAGAAGTAAACGTCAGTTAACAATAAATTTATACTAAAATTGAGTAAATAACACGCTGATTAAGTGCTGTCATGTTAGAATTTATATTTACTTTTGCATGGATTATGAATTAAATTTGTTGATATATCATAAATAGAACAATGTTTGACAACCACTGAAAACCTGGAAGCACTAGACAGCCGTTTCGTCCTGGTATAGGACTCAACAGTGAACGTCCACGATCCCGCACCAAACGAACTCGAACCGAGGACCTTCAGTCTCGCGTGGACGTTTAACCTCCAGACCACTGAGCCGGCATCCAACGATGTTAATGCCTAAATTTACTGTAGTGGCTGTGCTTCGATAATTAATCGCCCTCGAACCGTTATCGTATAATCTTCAACGATGTTTGAAATCAGAAGGCAAAAAGAAGCAGCTACTACAGTTTATTTAGTAGATAATTCGGACCAGACAGCAGAGAGGCAAAAATGAATGAGCAAGCGAACTACGATTGTAGCAGTAGCAAGTAGTAGTCGTAGTAGTAGTAGTGAATGGGTGCAAATGTACACATATATATATGTATAGGAAAATGGATGAGTCAGCGAATAGAATAAGCAGTTAATAATGAAGCTAGCCGAATGAATACATGCGTAGGCGCTAAACAATGTTCAAGCATATGTATTTCATACAAGCATAATAATAAAGATAGTACAACAAGTTGTTATACCATGGATGACTTTGTCCATTAAATAGGTCAACAAAAGGCCTTGACTGAACTAAACTCAATTGCACGTGAGTCGCTATATTACCAATTCACGAAATTTCGTGATCGTCCATCATTTTCCCCAGTGATTAACTGCCTCACAATAGACACGGTTGAACTCCACTGGTCATGGTTTCTCACTAGAACTCCGGGAAATCCACTTTGAAGCCAGCCACTAGTGAGTACTGTTGAGGAGTCCCATTATAGGACAAAACGGCCGTCCAGTGCTTACAGGTGTTCCATGGTGGTCGAACATTGTTCCATTCATGATATATCAATCTAAACTCAACAATCTCCACAACGCTATTGATAATTAAATATGTGTCTACTTTATTCATATCCCCTGGTATTGAGAGTTTGCAACTTCAGGGAAAAAATTATTGCAATTATTTGTTCTGTAAAATACAATTAACATAAGTGAAGAACTTGTTCTCAATGTAGAAGCACTTAGCTGAATACACTTTTTATATGTACTTCTGTATGACAACCTATTTTAACTTGTTTCCTTTTAGAGTAAATGCCAGAAAATCAGAAAATACAGTGTCAGTAATATTTAATAGTTTTAAATGAGTGTATTTTTTCTACACAGCATGGTTTACACAATTTTTAGCGAGTTTCTTGGGTTGTTGTCGCTTATTTTGTGTGTGTACTACGTGAAACAGCAAATTATACTGAGTAAGTTTTGTTTTAACAACTAATGTTTCGTTATTGACATATATATCTATTTTAATAAGGTTGATGAAATCAAACTGGAAAATATAACATATTACTATATAGCACACCTACTGAAAATGAAATTTACTGAGCATGACTAATAATTCATTAAGTGTGCTAATCGATATTTTCGACTAAAATAATATCGACATTTTGTGAAACAGTAATGATTGGACTTGCATGATTAAGACATCGAGATGCATTTATTACTTCAAATAGATCATCGACTTTATGCAACCATCTGCAAAGTTTGTAAATGAAATTAGAAATGATATTATATAAATTAAAAAACTCTTTACGACTTATTCTTACTTACATAACTTTGATACTATCATCGTTATCCTAATCGCATATCGTTTTGTTCAATAGGATTTTCAAGTTTTTGTACTAAATATGATTGCTTACTCATAAAATCAGATACTTCTCACTTTAGATGACGGGAGGTCGTAGAGGTAATTTAAATTTTAAAATAAGATTTGTCGAAAAATCATTTCAGTAGAGATAATATCAAAACCCGGGGAATACTTGACAGCTGTTTCATCCTGGTATGAGACTGATCAGCAATGTAGATCACCAACCTCACCAGGAAACGAACCTAGAACCTTCAAGTCTTACACCACTGGGTGAAACATGGAGGTCCTAGGTCCAATTGCTACTGAAGTCCGCGGACACCACTGCCGATCAGTCCCATATTAGGATGAAAGAACTATCCAGCATTGCCTAGTTTTTAACGGTACCAATATCGAAATGAAATTGTAACCAATATTCCTCATTTGTCTTATAATTGTACATCTGGTCAGACTGAACTTAAATGGAAGCATCTCATTTTCCTCATCAATGCAACATCGTTCATTTATTACTTTTAAATTCTGTATACAGAGTTCTACATTCATTAGATTAATAACACTCCTAATTAATTTCGATTTCTATCATAATTTGGGATAAATTTACTCATTGCTTACCCATAAATCATAGACATAAACTTTCATTTCATCCGTGCATAAAGCTAACCATGTTGGTGTATTTATTCGTTCACTAATTGTGAAATTCAACACAGCATTATTGAGTGGATTACGAGAAGGACCAAATACCATATGATTAATTTCTTTATGTAAACAGATTACACCACTTGGTATTATCGAATCTTTATTCACAGATGATATACCAGAGTCATTTGTTAGATCTAACTCATAATTATTCAACTGATCATCGGATGTATGCTTTATAAATTTATTCAAATCACCATTATTATTACTATTATTATTAGTCTTTATCATAGCAGTAGTGCAGTTGCTACTTATGATTCGGTTTTGTTGATTTGCAGTTCCATTCGACAATTTTAGCGTAGACAAAGAGTTTGATAAGGTGGAGGAATCATTGCGATCAATAATGTTATTTTGTTTACATTCTCTTGATATATGTACGTTATTATAACTAGTTTCATTTTGTTCATATATCGGCCTACAAGTAATTAAGAGGAAAAAATGGAATCACAAAACTTTATAGAATATGGACTACTATAAGAGTACAAAATTTCATATAACAACCCACGTAGGATGGTATGCCAGGATCACTTTTGTTAAAATTATCAAGAAATGTTATAATTTCGGCATATATGCCAGTATAGGGCGTTGTAGAGATTATAGAATTCTCATGGATTTTAAATCACAAGCTGATATTTATGTGCTCACTGGCATTTAATTTCAAGATGCGATTCACAAAGTTTTAGTGAGAATCTATGACCAGTAGAACTCAATAGTATGGAGCATGAAGAAAATACCTGTCAGAGATGATGAATAATTGTCGAGCACAATCTCAGACTGACTAAAACTAAGTGTGCATTTCATCGGATTCCGTCTTAGTGGTTTAGAGTTTAGGCGTTAGCGCTTACGACTGAAGGTTTTGGGGTTGATTCCGAGATGTGGAGTTATGAATGAGCACAGTTGAAGAGTTCTATATTGAAATGAAATAACCAAACAGTGCTCTCAAACCTTCAATAATGGTCTAAGATCAGTTCGTTATTCAAAACCCGTGAGAAAAAATATATATTACTTACTTCTTCACACTATTTGTATTATCAGTTGCATGAATAACTTTTAATTTATTATCATTATACTGATAATTCGTCATAGATTTATGTTTGGTTTTTATATGATTATTTGTGATATTTGAAGTACTTGAATGACTTGTTGAATTTGAACTATATTCATAATCTTTTTCTTTATCCACTTCAATGTGTTTAGGCAATGTAGAAACTTGTTTTATTATACGAGGATATGATGGTAATAATTGACTAGTATCTTGTAAACAGTGTTGATCATTACCATGATTAACAACACCATTAAAAGTATTTTTCTTTACATTATTATTATTATCATTGTGATCATACCATAACGATGTTGAAGCTTTATAATCAATATCCAAAATTTCTCTATCAATTGATTCAGTTGATGATTTGTTTGCATTCAATTCACTACTCTGTTTGATAAGAGGATATTTTTGAGGGGGACTCGATCTGCATTATAAATAAATTATATATATATAATAAACATATGAAAAAATAAAATGTGATCTGATGAGTAGTAGTCTTTTTAATGTATTGATACACATTATAAGTGTTGAAATTGTACTACATAATATTGACTCAATGATTTTAATAGTTAAACGTTCTATGTGAGATCTAAATGTCCTCGGTCTGATCGTTGGTGATATTATGGCTGACCATTGTTAAGGAGTCCTATACTAGAAAAAAAAAGCTAGCTGATGTGCCCTAGTTTTAAGACATCCCTCAAGTGAGATCGATCTGTTTCATATGCATCCTGAGAATAGTTGGTTAGATTTATACTATTTTAAAGTGTTATAAAGAAGAATATTATGAATTTTTATTAAATGACCTTATTAAAAATGTCAATTCACAAAATCATCTCTAGAGATTATCACTGCGCAATCATTCTTTTCAATTAATTTTCGCAAATTTCTCGTTTGTTTTTGTTCTAGGTGCTTATATGTTGAAACATGAATTAAAATTTGTAAATTTAATACATGATTTTATTAGATTATACTACGTAGTGATGATTTGAAATACGATTAAATTTTCTAAATAATGAAGCTTGTTGTCAAGATAGTAATTTAATGCTTAAAAATCATACTACAACTTAGAGAGAAGTGTACTGTTGAAAAACTTTATACTTTTTATATTATGTGCATATTTTTGAAATGAAATGAAACAAATACTTTTTCATGCATCCAGCCTGCCTTTTTCAACTCAAAAACATAATTTTATTATTATTACAACTATTACTATTATTATTGGAAACTAGGTCTTTTCTGATGACTGAAATAATCAATTATTCGCTCCGCAATGTGTTGTTGAAATAGCCTACTGTAATAGTCTACGTAATTCAATGAGACAATGGATTAAACAACACATATAGTACAGCTCAAATCGTCTTCCAGCTAAATAAAAATAAAGGAATGGAAATTTTATTCAAATTGATGCTGCTTTTAAGTGACATGATACATATTCTTTTAAGAACATTGATAAACTCATTTAAAGTGATATTGACAATAATTAGACGTTATGAATATTGATAATACAGTAATTTTTTCTTCTTAATGCAGTTAGTTAGTTCTAGGCTCAAATGAAAATGTCCACGACTTTTTATATTTTTATGGGTTGTTACTTATTTTACTTAGTTCTCCATTAGGTGATATAACATTAACCCTATTGGACACCTAATACAAGTAGAATTCACCTACTCAGTTCAATTCTTATAGTTTATCGTCTCACGATGCATGAATCAAATACAGAAAAGTTAAAACCATTACTGAAATACTAAGAATATAAACAGTATATAAACGATTGCATCTTATTCCACTGTGTTTATCAATTTACATGTTTTTTGTGGACACACATATGCAATAGGGGACTAATCGTAATTTCCAATATGGGTGGCTGAGCATCTACGAAAATAGTTACAAAAAGGCAAATAATTTAATAAAAGCAGATAACAAACACTCAACTTCTTCCATTATTATTATTATTATTATTATTATTATTATTATTATTATTATTATTATTATTATTATTGTTACTTATTATTTTCGGGTAATAATTTTGGCGAGTGCAAAGGGAGGTGTAAAAAGCTGTTTATTAATTCTGGTGCAGTTGTGAATAATAAACTAAGACCATGTTTATAAGCAAAGATGGATAGTGGCTAGCAGTGGAATCCAGGACGCGCGTTTCATCCTGTTTGGGACTCGTCAGCTGAATGTACCTGCATCTCAGAGTTAATGTTCACTCTCGGACTCGAACTCAGTACCGTTCGCTTCAAACGCCATTCAAGTACATAATTGTGTGTACTGGCTTTGCGAATTCCCCACATTTAGAGAAAATCTTATATTGTGACCATGAACCGATAAATGTCAGACCATTATTGAAAACCTGTAGGCTCTGGACGATGGATGCAGGCCCAGTGATCCAGAGGTTAAGCGTTCGTCCGAGACCGAAGGTTCTGGGCCCGATTCCAACACGCAGAATCATGGGTGTACACTGCTGAGGAGTTCCACACTAGGCAGAAATGGCCGTCTGGTGCTTCCAGGTTTTCAATGGTGATCTAACATTGGTTGGTTCATGACCTTAATAAAAATTCAATAATCTCCATAAAGCTATACTGATAATTTCATATATCCCACAAAAATTTATTAAGTTCTTAAATACTGTATTGTAGAGGTGAAATATAAATAACACAGAAAACATAAAAATAGAAATCATTTCAAATTTCTGTAACGTAGAGTGTTGTTTTGGAAATCAAAATGATTCTTTGTAATGAAGTTAATCTATTCAAAATAACTTAAAACTAGCTAACTCATATAAGAAATGTTCAATCTCCTTGTTAACTTTCATTTGAAAATTTAATCAGTCATCAAACTTCTAACATTAATATCACAAGCGTATTAAAGAGAAGCGGACAATTCACTATATTTTGTTTTTAGGTAAAAAATATAATAATAAAAACCCTGTTGTTGGAAATTCCAAAGCTTTTATTGATTGCTATAGTAATTTCTCTACCCTACTCTTTATATATCTAAGTGAATTACACAGAATATGAATTCCATTTATTAAAAAAAACTCGAACAATGAATAGTAGCATTTGCTAATACATATTCAAGTTGTTGTTTTTTTAATACCTGTTAATTTCTTCCTTATTTATATCATTTTTGTAAATACAAGGTTGTGATGCACTTTTACGTAATATAAACATTTGTGGTGGACTTTTAGATCTATTTATTGGTAGTTTTGAATCATCTCGATTTAATAAAAGTTTCTTTTTACAATCAGATTTTAAATATTTCTTTGAAGATAATCGATCAGAACCTGAACATTTATTCAATTTAGATTGTTTCAAATTTTGGTTCTCCGAAAATGTTTTTGTCAAATTTTGATTGTTTATACCAGGTTGAAATGAATTCTTTGAATGTTGATTTGATTGAAAAGATTGATATTCTCTTGGTAAGTGAATTTCAATTTCGGAAGAAGTTAAATAACTTCCTTTCGATGGTGAACCACTTTTTGGTACACTTGGTTTTTTGATTATTTGTTGATTATTTAATTCAGAAAAATAATTATTATTTTTGGTTGATAATTTATGTGACGGTTTGTTAAAAACTGGTGTATAATTTGTGTAACCGTTTGACTGTGAATTTTGAATTAAACGATTCAGTAGTTCTTGTGAGTAGAGATGATCTCTATTATAAAGTATAGTTGAATCTATATTGAAAAATAAAAAAAAATGAAACTGCTCAAGTAAGTTGTACATCGAATATCGATACAGTCATTTAAATATTTAAGACATTTTAATTACTGTATGAAACATTAAACTATTTTGATGGATTTAAACAGTTCATAACACCACTCTATATTTGAGAACCCTTTTTGATTTTCAAGGGTTTGTATTCCCCCGCCGCTAACGTTCCAAACCACAACTCATAAATTTATATTTGTATATGTGCATATTTAAGAAATTATCGTGATATTGTCGTTTAGTCATAAGTTTTTATTCAAGATGTATATTGGCAGGAAACGCTTTTCATCTTATTTAGAACTTATCATCTGGATGTACCTGACATTTCAAGGAAATCTGCTCAGTAAGCACATATCCCAATAAAGACAGATCAATTGTAACCCTTTAAATTAACGGTAAAAAATTAAAAGCCCTTCAAATCAAAATGATATCCCTCACCCAGACCACTGGCCATTTGGAATCAGTAGGTCACTGGACAACGCGTTAGTATTACAAGTAAAAGGTACTAAGTTTGAGTTGCAGTGAGAATATCAATACGTAGTTGGTTTCCTGAAGCAGAAGCATCCCGATTAGGACGAAATGCCAGTCCCGTTTTCCACTACTAGCCATGATCCCATTTTGATGACAATTACTTCATATTTTAGTTCAAATTTTACACTTATTGAGAATTAACGATGGTCAGTAACGCAATATTGGATGACATTAAAATGACCGTGGTCTTTTTCCTTAGTCCTAAGAATAAATGTCAACAGTACAACCATAAATATTTTAAAAAAGTGATTGGTTTAAATTCTATCCAAATATATGTTCAAAATGTCTAGGTGTGCACATTATTGATCTTAAATATATAAAGGTGTAGCAAGTTGAGAAAAAAATCATCTTTGACTATGACCACATTCAAACTCCAGTCTGAACCACTGATGGCTAGATTACTAGAGCTCATTGTTAATGGAAAGGTGATGACTGCACAAATTATTGATATTTCTGAGTGACAAGTATGGGAAGTGCAATAGAGGAATAGGTGAAAAAACTAGTTGTGAATTATGAATTTAAACCACAGTTGTTTTAATGTTTTACTTATAATTAGTATATCATTGAGCCTTGTACGTGTAAAACTCAATAAACATTGGTATAAGGAGGCACCAAAGAGATATGCACTACATAAATCATTCGATTTATGTGAGGGCCGGGATACTGCCCGGATGCCCAAACAGAAGCAGATGGTTTTCTTAGGAGACCACACCCCGAGCCTGTGACCTAAAGGTCTAATCCACAAGGCAGTGGAGCAACGTCACGAGATGCAGTCCCATGGTAGCCGGTGACCAACAATTGGTTCATACGCCACTTGTTTCCTTAGGATGCTGGAGCCCATTTACACCATTGGTTTGGAATCAGGGTTTTCCAACTCCTTCTCTATATCCACTAACCCTGTCTAAGCGTCTAACTTTCGCTTTTCGTCCTCTTAATTTCGTAAACAACACCCATGTCGCGATAAGGCAGTGAGTATGACTTCCCGGGCAGTATGTACATACGCGTGACCATGTGAGAGCATTTCGAGAGGGAGAGCCGACTCTCTCCAATCTCGGTCATACCACGGCATTTGGGGGCTGTTGGCAGCTATGTTATCAAATGTTATTATATGTTATTATTAACTACCTCATATAAAACATATTTAGTAATAGAATTTAAACTGTATTCTTTCTAGTTACTTATTGTTATCATGTGAACAAGATTAATGTATAGGAAATAAAATAACTTAAAGTTAATATTTGTCAATAACTTGACAGAATTTTTTTCCTAATTAAGTTTTTGTTTCAACAGTAAATGAACTGTTTATACAGAATTTTAATAATTCAAAGTTCCTTTCTTTCTCTCACATCTGATATCAATACAACTACGTGATATTTTATTACAAATGATGATCACCTGATTGTTAGGTTATTTCTGATAAAAGTAGATTTACAATTTATTTTAAGAATAGTAATATAAAATTGTATTGAACATAGACCAAACCATAGAAAAAAACAATAATGTATATTTCATAGTGTAATTTGTTTAAATGTTACTTCGGTTTTTGTATATTGTTTTGTTCATTTGAACAATCTGAAATATTGTGATAGATCTACATAAATTTTTCTTCATAAGATCCATTTAGTGTTCTTATATTTATTCATATGAATTTTCATAATAGTCATAGGAAGCAAATATAAATAATGAAAATAACTGATTCGTGTTACGTTTTGATTGATCTGACTAACCTTAGCTTTTTATAAACCTAATTAATTTTTATTTTCATGTTAGTATAGACATTGATTCGGTATGTGTATTTCATGTAAACAATAATCAGAGACATACATTAATAAATACTTGAAATTCTTAATTGTTGTCTTCTTTTTCAACATTTGCATAGTAACATGAAGTAGAATTCTGCACAGTAAACTTACTATGTGATCAGAAGTAGGACAACTTATAGTTGTTGTAATTTGGCAAATCAGCAGCAAAGCTAAATCGCTCAGATAGCCAGTATAACATAGATATTGACAAATAGGTAAAGTGGTAAAAAAAGACTGTCACTTTAGTCTCTATTCTCAAACTAGGCGTCAAAACAAACAAGTTTTGGATATTTGTAGTATATGCTCTTATTTTAAAGTCGCCTCAACTCCTCTTACAAATAACACTACTAGGTCTAAATACTCCATGTTGTTTAGTGTAGTGTCATTCAATGAGCAATGAGTAAAGTGTTGAAACTTAACACCAACACCCCTAACAGTGGTATGTGATCATCTCTAAGTTGCTCAAAGCTATCTCTCTATCTTAGAAAAGATTTTTTCGTGTTTTTTAAAATCCCAGAGCGAAAGCAATAAGCGTTGTGAGTAACAGTATATACTGTTCGGTAACTTAGATACTTTTGCATGTTCCATTAGCAAGCAGAGTCAGCTAATGACTGATTCTGAGCCATGTCATCCAAATACTGACTGCCATTGTCAAATGGACTCTAAACATGTGGTCTGCATCCACTATCATGGTCCATACTAACAGTCTCTGATTCAATGTATTGATAACACGTTTAGATTTACTTATCTCTAGCTTTTTTCAAACTTACTCCTAGGAAACCTAGCATTTGCATTTGAGGTTGGTGCTGGTTTAGCATAAACCAGTCAGAAGAGAATTTCAGGCACAGAAACATATAGGAAAATTTTTGTTTCAACCAGTTACTCAAAAAAGAGAATGAATTCTTGACAGATTTGCTTCGAAAATTACTAAGCCTAGTGTGATCTTTTGATTGCAACCAGGACAGATATTATGTCATCCTGTTTTTTAAGTGCATGCCGCCCAACAGCATATGATCTTAAAGGTAAAGCAGATAATATGAATCGTTAGGACGAAATATTTGTCCTAAGCGTGGTGGTTTGTCAGTAAAACCTCTTCTCTACATTAACTTAAGCACAGTAAGTACATAGGTATGCGAAGCTTCATAAAATTGATCTGTTTTGCAGTTCAAAGAGGGTTGTTTACTGTATTTCAGTGAGTTAATAGAAGCTCTTATGACTAGAGTATACTGTGATCTATCAAATGAATATGTATAATGTTACAGCCGTCTTTTAAAAACCTCATTTTCGTAGAGAAATTCTCGGAGTTAAAAGATGTGATAGTGTGGCGTAGAGGAGTTGCGTGTGTAAATTGTTACATCCACACCCAAAATACAGTAAAGTTTCCAAAGCCTCACCTTAATGAAAGCAGCTAACACTACAAAATTAATTATTCATTCTGACCATTTCTCTTTCTACCTTCCTGATATTCAGGAACCTTAAACAAGGTCTTTCTGGCTAGAAAACTAAATGTAGACATCAAAATAATCCAATCTGATTAGTATATCAGTGTACCAACATTCGGTCAAGAGCGTTTTCAGTTTTCCTATGAATAATTCACATATTACATCAGTTTACATTTTAAAAACCGTAAGGTGTATGGTTGTATAAGTTATGAATATATTAAATCTTAACTTACCAAAACCATTTTATCGTAAACTGTGTAGTAAAACGAAGTAATAAAAGAGAAAACTCAATAAAATCTCATTTCTTACTTAAATTATGTACAGGTTTTCTATCTTTTATTGTATAATTTGGTGAAATCATGCGGTAATTTGAATTCAAGTTGAATGTTCCTTCATCTGCACTATTACGACTTCGTTCTTGCATTCTTGCTAAAACATTATCATTATAGGTATCAATATTAAATACTTGGTTATCACCACCATCTAAATTATTTAGTCCACATTCAGCAGATTTGAAATTTTTACTTAAATAAAGTAAATCATTATGATGCTTGAATGAATTCATATTACGCATTTCAGGTGAATGAACTGGTATTGCATTAGTGCTACTTGTTGAATGTACATGTCTTGCATTATTTATATTTTCAATAAATGAATATTGAGATTGGTCATAGTTTTCTAAATAGTAATAGATATGAAATAAAGAAAGAATATGTAAATTTTTACTTGGTATATTAAATTTAAATCATTTTGAGTAAATGTATTCATTTTGAAATAAAATTACAAATATGCTTACTTTACTCAAAGTTATGTGTCAATAATATTCAACAATCTCTACAGTTTCCTTACTGATAATCATCATGTGATTGATTACTAGTGATTAGCTTCATGAGAAGAATTCAGGAGTTCCATCGAAAAGCTATGATCAGTGAAGTTCAACCATGTAGAGCATGAGTAAGGTGTCTATTGAAGTTAAATGCTCGGTAGTTTGGAGATAAAGTGTTTACTTTAGAGATCAAAGGTCCCGAGTTCGACCCAAATTAGTAGGTTCCTGGGTGTGTATTGCTAAGAAGTCCCATACTATAATGAAGCAGTGATCCAAAGGTTACCTAACCAAAATGGATCCGAGATCTCAACAATATTTAACCATTTTCACGACTTCTATACTGATGAAAGTAAAATCAAGAAAGTAAATATCACATTAGTAAGTTGTCGATATCTGAAAATGTTTAAAATGATCTTCATTATATGTTCATTTAACCAGCCATAAATCATACATCTATAACTGGGATTACGGTTAAAGGTGGAGTTACAAATCTTTGTGATTAGAACACTAGTTTTCACAGTATTTACCTTACGATTTCTGGTTAGGGTGATTTATTCGTCCGGAAATTAACACTTGGACACAGAAAGGACATTTATCAGCGTTTATAGCTAAAATGGTTTGTTGAAAACGAGTGCACGAATTACTTAGACATTGAATACCTTCTCTCAATGGTGAAGTAGCTAATAAAAACATCGTCAATGTGAAAAAAATCGGGTTCCTATGTAATGTTGTCCATGAATCTCAGAAAAATTAAAATAGACCATTTTTATGTGAATAGGATCTAGAGAAATGCAAACAGTTGTTCTTACTACTAAAATGTATCCCATCATAAAATATCATTCAAACAACTTAAGGGGTGGCTCTGTGTAGTGCTAAAACCTAGTCTGTAAATAAGTTGATTAAACTTTCTCTCCTCAAGATTTTCAATCTTGTTCTATATATCTGTAATTAACCCTTAAACATTTGTTCATGTGTACTGTTAAATGTTGTATACAAATAACTGTATGGAAATGAATCTATTTCAGACACAATGTATCTAGTGATCATGTTGTTTATTCAGATTATCACTTCCATCACATGGTCCATATTTTTAAAAATATCCCGTTGATATTTTAGATAGTTTTATTGCATCATTTTTATCCAATTTGTTTAGTTCATTACAATCTAAAGTATAACTCTAAATTTTTAGGAGATACATATTACTGGCATTGTATTTTAGTTACTACAAACATAAAAGACAACTTTTCATAATACTTAATGATACCCATAATTTTCATTTATACTTTAATTGATAACACTTTATAATATTAAGCTATATTTAGATGGTGGTTGGAGGTAGTCAACAGGTTAGTCACGGCTCGGATAGCTCAGTGGTAACGTCTCTGACTGTGAAGCTGGGTGACACGAGATCGAATCCGCCAGGGAGCACCAGTTCCCTCAAGATTACAGGTACACCTTGCTGACGAGTGCCAAGTAGCACGAAACCCGGGTCCAGGGTTTCCTATCGACTAGCTTCGACCACTATCTACTCTAAATATATAGTGTTGAGTCACCTAGACTGGTGGCCACATTGCAACATGATCGATAGCATTCGATCTGCACTAATAAGGACTAGACAAGCATGACATTGATCACCACACAGTGATCAATCAATTGTAATTAAGCTATATTGGAAAAACAAAAGTTTTACTTAGATAGAATATAACTTCACAGTAATAAGAAGATTTCTCCTCTTTCAATATAATAATTGATGTAAAAAGCTTAACAATTTTATTAGTATACTGAACGAACACTTTACTTTTTTCAAAGGATAAAAAAAAAGAAAAGAAATACAGTAAAATAAAAGTGAATATAACTTCATCTAAACTATTACATACATAATCAAAATACTATAGAAACTTCAATTAAATAAATTAACATTTATATCTTAGTTTTTTTATTAATAAATAGATATTTAGTTAGATAGATAAACAGACAAATAGAAGGTATGTACAATATTACTTAAATCAATTAAGAGCTACTGAAATGTGTAAATCATAAAATGAAAGAAAATTTTGAATTAATTCATATACATTAGCAATAATAACAACAACCCCAACGAGAAAAAAAAACACTATTTGGTTAAATGAATGTATGTATTCATGTATTCATATGTATATATGATTAATAATGTTATTATTTATTATTTTTTTTTCATTAAAAACAAGTTGAAATGCTTGTTAAGGTTTAGTTTAGATATTCTGTTATTTAAGAGAGAAAAAAGAAGAATACTTTTTTGTAAATTTACATATTTTGGTAAAAATGAATTCCAGAATATTCTGTTGATACATGATTTCACTATAATGTAACTCGTGATTTCACAAAAGATATTCCTGTTTATTATTATTATTGTTAGAAATAAAATAGTCTCAATAGTTGAGATCATGAGTCAAATGAAGCTAGACCACCATGGAAAACCTGGCTTCAATTGACTTATGATCTCAACTATTGGAATTACTACAATCTTCACAAAACCCCTTCTGATAATAAAATAGTCATTTCAACGGTGAATGGGGCAAGGTGGACAGTATAGGTACAGAAAAATAATGAACAGTGAATACTGTTTTCCTGTTTAAATAAATACTCAAATTACTAAATCATACATTATAAATATTTATTATACAAGGTTGTTTAATTTTGGTACGATATGACTAAATATTAAAAAATTGTAAAACTAGTAAATTAACAATGGATTATGGTAATAGGTTAAGATAATTAAAACAAATATCTTTGTAACAGCATATATAAGCGAACAATATTGTTTTCGATTAAATTCTCATTAGGCTTTACTCTAATATACAGTAATATTTATATACATATACGAAATTATTAAGCCAATCAAGGCAGTTTATGAGTCAATGATAACAGTGGAATAGATTACATAAATAAGTGAAAAGTACAAATTGGTAGTGTCATGACAGGTGTACTAGTTGTGTTAAGAATAATAAAGACTTGAATCAATGTTACATAATGGGAAATAGGTCAATGATTAGAAAAATACAGACATTGAAAAGACATCCACAAAAATTATAAGATTACGTAATAAGAAGTGTTCTGATAATTAGACCGTGAAACGTATATTTGAGAAAAAACAAGATGGTAGGAGGGGGTGAAGAAAAATAAACGATAAAGAGTATGGAAAATAATAAATAAAATCATTTATTAAGGCCAAGGGAGATATAAGGGTGTTACAAATTTCTTATGAACACAAAGACTTGGATTGTTGGTTCGAATTCCTATATCTTCTGTTATTTGTAAGAGACGAAATCGAACACCATAAGGAAAACTAGTAGGAATTCGATAAATAACTTTAAATGACTCATTTCTGTCTACTACATGACTGCTAACGATCAAGTGTGATAGAACCGAGCTGCATATTATCTTGACAGTACCTTTTTTAACCAGGAAAGGAAGTGTTCACTATCTCTTTGGTTCAGTTATCTGGTAGTGTGCCCAATATAGCTTCCTCCACAAGAACAGCTGAATTCGTAGATACACATAGAGGTGGCATAACCACGTAACTTATCCTTTAGTTGAGGAATCACCATAGGCCGGGTCGAGTACGATAGACAGATGTTAGTTGCATTAAACGTTCTCTTCACTGCTCTAGTTAGTCTGTCACGCAGTACATCACCAGCTACATCTCCATTAATTTGCAGCTTCAGGAAGAGAGGTTTATGTTTATTTATGTAATCTTTTCCACTGTTATCAATGACTCATAAACTGCCTTGATTGGCTTAATAATTTTGTATATGTATATAAATATTACTGTATATTAGAGTAAAGCCTGATGAGGATCTAATCGAAAACAATATTGTTCGATTATATATGTTTCTCTAAATCACAATATGAGAATTTTTCAAATTTTAAATGTCTTTATGTCATTAAGGGAATGATATAAATATTTACCATTGTATACTAATAATAAATATTTCTTATAATGAACCCAGCTGATTTTTCAAAATCTAAAATTTCCATGAAAATTATTAGATTAGATTACCTTTTGAACAATTCCTACTCGTGGCTTTTTATCAATCTATTACTTTTGAGTCAAAGTATGTACTAATAGCTTTATGATTAAAAAACTTTCCAAGGTAAAAAAAAAGATCTAATTTCTTTCACTTATCCACTTACCGGATTTTTTAATATCGTTATATCCATACTTAGCCATTTTCAAACAATTCAGCTATAATAAAATAAAAGCAACAGAGTATTAAATGTTTAATTACTACGTTCTTATAATACTTTCAAAGTTAAATTACCCCAAATAGGATAATGAATACAATCTCGTGCATAGTGCAAACACCTACAGTTTATCACTGCAAACCGGGAGTTCGAATTCAAAGGTAATTGTTACAGGCTCTTACATTGTCCTGTTATTAATTTTCTCTCTTAATTAGCGTAGTTAAATGCTAATCGGTACTTACTTACACCTGTAACTCCCAATGGAGCATAGGCCGCCAACCAGCATTCTCCATCTCACTCTGTCCTGGGCCTTCTTTTCTAGTTTCATCCAATTCTTGTTCATTTTTCTCATGTCCATCTCCATTTCCCGGCGTAATGTGTTCTTTGGTCTTTCTCTTTTCCTTTGGTCTTGAGGATTCCATGTGAGGGCTTGTCTTGTGACGCAGTTGGGTGCTTTCGTCAGTGTGTGTCCTATCCACTTCCAGCGCTTCTTCCGGATTTCTTCCTCTGTTGAAGTCTGGTTTGTTCTCTCCCACAGTAGGTTGTTGCTGACAGTATCTGGCTAACAAATCGGAAGTATTTTGTGTAGACAACTGTTAATAAACACTTGTATGTTCTGGATGATGGT